AATATAATTTATAATTAATTATTATTATTGATATTATATAAATAATATAATAAATATGAATAAAAAGAAAAATACAACATCATCAGTTCCTACATTGCCATAGAGTAAAGTAAATCCATCTCTTTTGGCTCCACCTCCATAATAATTAAGTCCTAATCAATCTTATTCAACATTTATACCACCTGAACCTAAATTTGATCCAAATGATTATATTACAGGAACAACTACTAAAAGAGATATCATTTTATATAAAGAAATATTTGATTTTTTAGATTCTAATAATAATGGTGTTATATAACCTATGGATTTAAGAAAAGCATTTGCAAGTGCTGGAAAATATTAACCAAAAAAATAAATTATTTATTAAATGATTGCTGACTTTGATTAAGATTAAAGTGGTATTATTGAATTTAGAGAATTTGTAAGAATGATGGCAATGCATCCAGGAGAAAAAGATACAGATGATGATTTTGAAAATGTTTTTTATTAAATTGATTTAGATTATAAAGGTATTTCAATCTATTCTAAATTATATAGGTTATATAACAGCAGATGATTTAAGAGAATTAGCATCAGAATGTAATGAAAAAATTAAAGAAGAAGATTTATTAAATATAATTCATGCTTGTGATCCTGATGGAAATGGAACTATTAGAAAATAAGCATTTATTAGATATATGAAAAGTTTATAAAAGAAAAGATGATGATATTATAAATCAATATTATACATTTATTTATTATTATTATTTAATATGGGATGTGTATGTGGATCTAAAGAACAAACAAACGACCCTTATTCCAATAAATCTAAGAGTATATATCTTATTATGACAAATAGGAGCATAATAAAAAATTAAAGGAAAAGGAATACAGATTGGGGGAAATTAAGAAAATGCTCAATATGCTAATTAAAATGTAAATGTTATTATTTAAAATAGGATTTGATGGCTTAGGCTGCAGAAAAAAGATTAAAAGATTAAGAAAGAAGAGGAATGAATCCAGCAGCTTAAATTGAATATGAATTTAAAAAGTAAAAATTAGAAGAAGCAGAAAAATATCAAAAAGAAAGAAGAGGAGAAAATTATAATCTTAGATGGTCATGATTTTATTATTATTTATTCAACTATTAACAACAATTATCAATTTTTATCTAGTAAATTTAATTCAACATCTAAGTTCTTTTCTTCTTTATCATTTTTTTTCCTAAAATTAAGAATAACAAAATGAATACTATAAATATATTATCAATGCCGATAGAAATGGTAATAGAGATATAAACCATCCAACAACAACAAAAAAACTATCATAATTTAATGAGCCTTTAATTTATTATATGATAGAGATTATCAAAAGTACCACAATAGTAATGTGACATAATTTTGTAATAGAGAATTCAATAAATTTAGGGATCTTAATATTATTTAATTCTAAGTCCTTTTTGAATAAATGAAACCTTTATTGATTTCCAAAATAAAAGACTTCAAATAGTAATCCTCCCATAAAAGAAATGGTGGTTCCATATAAATCTACAAATTCAAGTAAATAAAATCCAATATCAGTACAATAAATAGATCCTAAGATTCCTAATAATATACAAATTCCCAATCTAACTTATTAAATAGTTAATTTAAATTAAAATAAATAGACTTCGCCTAAACAAGCATCTTCTATAGTACCAGCAATTAAATCAACAAATCCAAATTAAGTATCAATTCCCAACAATAATAATATTAAAAAGAATATAATACACCATAAATTAGGAATAGGCATTTATGCTAGAATAGCTGGATATAATACAAATGCTAAATCTGGACCAGATAACTAATTATACTATAAACAATATACAGGTAATTAATGTATTGGAATATCAAATTTAACACTAATATGTCCAATATAACTAAAAACAACTAAAGCAGCTAACATGCCACATAATGTAGTAATTATAGGAATAGCATAAGAAAAATTAGGTAGATTATCATCTTTATTTCTATAACTACCATATAAACATAAAATAGCCAAACCAACATTCATTTAAAATATTACTTAATTAGCTGCATCTACCCAAACTGAAGGATTTAATAATTGAATAAAATCTGGTTTTAATAAATAATAAATTCCTTCACTTGAACCTTCCAACATTAATCCTCTTACTAATAAAATTATTAATAATATATAAGGAGATGTAGCTGTTACAATTGCTATTTTACCAGATGTTTAAACTCCTTCTCTAACAATTATATAACTATATATATACTTAATAATCATATAAACAATTGTTAATGAAACCATATACGCAATAAGTAAACTCCATATTATTTCATCTTTTATTAAATATTTAAAATTAATACTAATGTTTGTGATTGAATCTGATATTTGAAGAATTTGTTCATAAAAGTGCTTTTTTGAAAAGGGTTATTCATCATCTATGATACTTTCAAGCCAAGGTAAAGGATATTTAAAAGAATCCCATAAAAATCTTAGTGAATAAGCCATTATAAGATTCTATGATTAAAATTAACTATACATAATAAGTGGATATATATGAAGCTATAATAATACCAACAAATCCAAAACCGGCTAATTTTGGTTTTTCTGTGGCAATTAAATGTGCAAATCCCATACCTTTTGTTTATCCAAGTCCAACTTCAAGAAAGAATAATGGAATAGCTATAATAATTACTAATAAAAAGTAAGGAATAAGAAATGTTCCACCTCCATTCTTAAAAACCACTAAATAATATTTTAATTGTAAAATATACAATAAGGGAATCTCCATACACTTCCAAAACCAGCAGCAAAACCTAGAGCTGTCATCATAAAAGTCCATGAATTTGTGAATTTCATTCTTTCTTACTAATACTCTTCCAAACTTTTAATTGATGACTACATTAAATTAATGATAAAAATCAAATTTAAGAACATGTTCTTAAAACCTAAAGATTAAATAATTTTATAAAAATATTTTCTTTTTATATAATGTACATAAATATACAATAATGTAAAAATTCATTTGAATAAATCATTTTCCCAATAAGTCTAATCAAATTTATAAACTCTTGAATATCCACCTTCTTCTCCAGTAATAAATCCTTTTCCATCAGGGAAGAATGCTAAAGAATTTATTGGTCCAATTTAATTTGGATCTTAAATATTTAAATATGAATATACTTAATAATTTTCCAACTTCTTCTTCATAAATAACATTACAAATATGTATATCGAATCCTTAGAATTTAGTTCTAGCAGTTTCTCTAGCAGGTATACCACCAGCAACAATTAAATGAGGTTTTTATTTTTGATCAGAATTGAATAATGGTGAAATCGCAACAGCATTCATAGGTACTTCATATTTAAATTATCTTAATAATTATAATGTAGTGGGATCAAAGATTTTACATCCATCATTAGCAGCAGTAGCTAATATTGAAAAATCTTTAGCAAATGTAAATTATTTAATTTCTCCATCATGTACTTATACTCTTTTAATTTCTTCTTCTAAAAATCAATTTGATTAATTAATTTACTTTATGGATAAGATAATAATAATAATTCTCCTTCTGTTGATGCCATTATAATTGATTAATTCAAATATCCCCAACTAGCTTAAGTAGTTTTAAATTTATCAGGAGTTACAAGTGTATCTGTTATTTCTAATACATCTTATGATTATCTTGATTTTATTTTATCTAAAACTTCTTTAAATTTTAATATTCTAGTTTCATAATTGATTTATGAACTCATTGGTTAATACACCTATATATTAAATATATAAACTATTTACAATAATTAAATATTCATCACCATAAGAGAATTCTACCCATTTTGCCTTTCTCATATCTGCTGTCAATTTACCAAGACTTTTTCCTCCATTTATTTAAAAGAAATCAACAGAACCCTTTTATGTTATTTGTAATCTTTACTTCTAATGAACCACTTACTAAATATTCACTATTATCTGTTAAATCTAATGTCTTTACTGCACCACTTGCTTTATAATTTCCTAATCTAATATATTATTTATTTAATTATATACCTTTCACCATTCTCTGTTAACCAACAATTTATACCACCATCCTATGATGCTGTAAAGAATAAATCTCCATCATAATTTATTTTTATTGTCATTATTGCTCTATCTGTTCCTCTAACATGAAAAGGCCTCATTTAATTAATTTAATTTATGGAAGAATAATTAAATTCATAACATTAAAATAATCTTAACATATTATTCATTTAACTAATTATGACAAATATTTTATTTATTAAGGATCTAATGATTAAAATGCTTCTCTCTTATAAAATTTTGCATTATTCTTTACAAATATCTTATTATTAGGAGATGAAAATGTTTTATCCATTAATACAAATTTATTTGAATTCTAACCATTTGTAGGAGAACCAATACTTTTTTTATTTTTATTTTCTATATAATTCTAATAATGATAAATTTATTCTTTGAATATTGTTTCTATCCTATTTTTTTATTACTATTCTAAATTCTTATATACCTTATTTATTTATTTTATCAATAAAGATATTTATAATAAATCTCCATATTTTGTACTTATTTTTACTAAAAATCCTTGCATTATTTATTCAAATTCATTGTTAAGCTCTTCTGGAACCATAATAAAAAAAACAAATGTCATAATCTAAATATAAAAGTTAAAAAGAGTTTGATCTTATTCACTCAGTTTTATTGAATATTCTGATTAAGACTATGATGTACTCATTCTACAAGGTAGATGTTATTTTAGACTTTAAATCTCTTTAATAACAGTATTAAATTATTCTTCTTTTGATTCCATATTTAAATTAAAATCTATTAATTTTTTTTGTAACATTTAATTTATTCCTTCACTTTCTATAATATCAGTTTATAGCTTTTTTATTTATTAATATAAATTTTAATTTTCATTTTATTACTTTTCGATCTTTGTTCTTAAATTTATTTCCAGATTTTATTAGTAAACTAAGATTTCTTAAACTTTTCTTAAATTTTTTAAACAATCTTAATAATGATCTATTTGTTAAACTTATACATCAACTAAGGATTCATTATAAACACTATTCTCTCCATTTAATCCAATAATATCTTTTAAGATTTGATTAATCTAAGAAAGCTAAGGATTTTAACTTGTTTTAAATTACATTGTTCTTACATTATAAAATTCTTATAATTATACAATCCTTTATTCAAAATATTCTTTTTATAATTACAACTCTTATATCATTTTTTTCTACTAATGATTTTATTAACCTAATTCATCAATTTATTATTTATTTTAATTCATTATATGACAAGATCTCTTTTTTAAAAGAATGTTTTTCTCTTTTTCATGCTATAATAGTGATGTTGTATTTTAAATGAAATTATACTATAATTTTTCCATTGCCTCAATAAAAGAAATTTTAGAATTATCTAAATTCTATAAATCTTTATATTTAAAATAATACCTTTTTAATTTAATTAATATTTTGAGAATATTACTCAATAAAAAATGAACTGTTGAATGATTTTTGATTATTCTCAATTAATTAATTTAATATTCTTATATATAAATCTTATTCTTATTTAGATTCTGCAATCAATTCTAAACGATATCCATTTCTTCCTTCAATTGCTAAAAATAATTCTTCATTAAATTATTTAGAGATTGTAAAGTTTTTTTTAAATAGCTTATATCTATTGTTTTAACTTTATTTAATTACTTTGAATAGTTAGTATGTATCTGAATTATTTAATCTATTGGAATAATCTATTTAGACGTAGGAAATTTAGATGTTTTAGATTTCCAACAAATAGCATTCAAAAAAGGACAATAAAAAATTGTTCTCAAAGCAGTTTTTTTANACAAGGTAGATGTTATTTTAGACTTTAAATCTCTTTAATAACAGTATTAAATTATTCTTCTTTTGATTCCATATTTAAATTAAAATCTATTAATTTTTTTTGTAACATTTAATTTATTCCTTCACTTTCTATAATATCAGTTTATAGCTTTTTTATTTATTAATATAAATTTTAATTTTCATTTTATTACTTTTCGATCTTTGTTCTTAAATTTATTTCCAGATTTTATTAGTAAACTAAGATTTCTTAAACTTTTCTTAAATTTTTTAAACAATCTTAATAATGATCTATTTGTTAAACTTATACATCAACTAAGGATTCATTATAAACACTATTCTCTCCATTTAATCCAATAATATCTTTTAAGATTTGATTAATCTAAGAAAGCTAAGGATTTTAACTTGTTTTAAATTACATTGTTCTTACATTATAAAATTCTTATAATTATACAATCCTTTATTCAAAATATTCTTTTTATAATTACAACTCTTATATCATTTTTTTCTACTAATGATTTTATTAACCTAATTCATCAATTTATTATTTATTTTAATTCATTATATGACAAGATCTCTTTTTTAAAAGAATGTTTTTCTCTTTTTCATGCTATAATAGTGATGTTGTATTTTAAATGAAATTATACTATAATTTTTCCATTGCCTCAATAAAAGAAATTTTAGAATTATCTAAATTCTATAAATCTTTATATTTAAAATAATACCTTTTTAATTTAATTAATATTTTGAGAATATTACTCAATAAAAAATGAACTGTTGAATGATTTTTGATTATTCTCAATTAATTAATTTAATATTCTTATATATAAATCTTATTCTTATTTAGATTCTGCAATCAATTCTAAACGATATCCATTTCTTCCTTCAATTGCTAAAAATAATTCTTCATTAAATTATTTAGAGATTGTAAAGTTTTTTTTAAATAGCTTATATCTATTGTTTTAACTTTATTTAATTACTTTGAATAGTTAGTATGTATCTGAATTATTTAATCTATTGGAATAATCTATTTAGACGTAGGAAATTTAGATGTTTTAGATTTCCAACAAATAGCATTCAAAAAAGGACAATAAAAAATTGTTCTCAAAGCAGTTTTTTTACTGTTAGACCGAGAAAACTTTGTAAAAGTGGTTCCTTTGACAATTTGTTGAAATTCTTAAAAATATGATTAAGTTTTTTATTGTAAATTGATGCAAATTTCAAATTATGTTGCCAATTAAGTTATTTGATTATCAATATTTCTTATTTCTAGAATGTAACTATCATCATAATACATTATTCTATTTTTTAAACCATTTAAGGATCAATTTTGTATTGTTCCTTCCATATTCTAAGTTCTTATTCTAATGATTACTCCAAGATACTGCTTTTATCAAATATCTATGAATCAATAGAATAATCATTAAAGACTTTTATGTCTGATATTTTAGATACTCCCAACATTTAATTTCTAACATTTGGAGTTAATTTAACAGAATTAGAATCATTTAAAGATTCATCCTGATATTTCTTTTGAAGATTTTTCTATAACTAATGTTATTTGCCAGGACATTAGTAATTATCTAACATTTTTTAATTTAAAATTTTAATATAACGAATATACTGAGTATTTCAACATTTAGAAAATTAAAATAAAAAGGTATTTTTTTAAAACTTTATAAATCATCCATTAATAGCACTTTTAGTTCTATGCGCATATCTTCTTCTTATAGGCTTTTTAACAATAGGTGATTCTTCATCTTTAAATTTTGGGGAATTTGTTATTAGAGGTTAATTAATAAAATTATTGGCATTCTGTTTAATAATATTAACATTATTATTATTATTATTACAATTATTATTAATATTATTATTGTTATTATTAATAATATTTCCATCATCCATCTAGAATGTATAATTTCTAATATGTCTTACTAATTTTGTTATACTCTATTTTTTCATTATTTTTGTATCTGATTATACACCAACTATTTTCTTTTTACTATTACTATTACTATTATTAGCGTTATTATTATTGTTTTTTGGGGAATAAAACATAGGAGTCTTATCACATTAATTTGAACTTGTTGAATTTCTTTCCTCTCGAGATTATATAGAATCATCCAAATATTAAAGCTTTTAATTTTGCTCAATTATTCTTTATTAGAATTTAGATGGAACAATTAGATTAGATTAATTTATATTGTTTTCTTAGTTATTAAAATTCTTCACATTGTGAACTTTTGTATTGAATAAAATTAATTATTTTTTTAGTGCTAAGGATGGATTTACTACATATTTCAAAGATTTTAAGTGATAGAAAGCCTTTTCATATTACCACTTTTTGGTGTTTATTAGATATGCTATTAATATGGCTGTACTCCAATTTAATCCATTCTAACAACATACTAATACAGAAGAACGTTTAATTTCGTTTTAAATAAGTTGACAAGTCTTTTCAAATATGTCTATTGCTTCTCCAATGTTTTCATCTACTCTCTAAGTCATTTTATCAATAGTACATGATAGGTAGCATACTCTGTAAATTTAGTATGATTTTATTCTCCAACAACAATTATAGTTCGAATGTTCTTTAATTTAAAGTATTGAATTGATTCCAAGACATGAACATTCCCTTGATAGATTTTGTGGAAGCGTTCCTCAACTACTGCAAAGAGAAAGGCTTAGTTAAGCATTTTTGATGTGAACCAAATAAATGATAATTATATTTTTTAGATATTTTTATAATGTAAATATTACGTAATAGGATATTAATCAATTATTTAAGTAAAAAAGTCTCTTTGATGATGCCTATCTCTCAAAAAAGAGCGTAAAGAATTAAATTATATATTTTAAATATAAGTTGTTCCATTTGCAACTGAAGCGGATAAAATTAATGTTTTTCTCAAAGAAATTCTAAGAGGATTTAATTATGTGTGATTTTTAGTAATCAATATAAAGTGGGAAGAAGTTAATTAACAATTAGAATTTATAAGATATATTGACTTTGCAATTATTACTTGTAAGAACTTGTCTTTGGAGTATTATCACATTCAAAGCATTTTGGCTTAATTTGTAAAATGATTCTGAAAAAAAAGAATAAATATAGGATAAAAAGATTTTATGATTGACAGAATCTAAAAATGGAAGTGAGTAGGATATAGGATGAACAGAGAAAGGAACTTTTTTTTTTTTAGAAAAGCATCTTTGGCTTTTTTATATAAAGTTAAAATATAAATTAATTGAAAGATTGAAAATATTATGGTAATTATCGAATTTTAAAGAAATTTTATTTAAAACAGGAAGAAATTGCAGATAATTTAGTATTATTTAAATTTATTCATTTAATTATTGTATTGATTTGAACAATAAATATTTTATGGATTATTGTTATATTGTATAGATGGTTTAGGTATTTCTGAAAAAAAATAGAGTTGATTTTTGGGTTTGGGGTTGGAATATAAAAGATAATGATAGAAAATAATTTGATAATGATAATCAATAAAAAAAGTAATCTATTTAATTTATACTGAAATATCAAATTTAATATTAAATAATCACCTATGAATATCAATGAATAGTTATTATAAATATTGACAGACGTATGCATTTAGAATTTTATGTAGATTTGCAGTGTACTTAGATCTGCTGTCACAAAAGAGTTGAGTACATAAGAAATACTTAATGCACTAAAACTTCACATCTTTACACTGCTAGAATTAGTATCTTAAAGCAAAAATCTTGAATATGATGAATTAGAGAAGGCTGTTTAAAAAGCAGAAGCAGAGATACGTTTTCATATTAGGGTATATAGATTAACATAATCATAGTTAGAGTAGTAGATGAGACTCTATGCAGATAATCTTTAAGAGAAGATTGAATAATTAGAATTTGAAAAGTAAAAATAGAAGTACAATAACATAATTTAAATATATATTTTAGCGAAAAAAAATCATAGAATTAATTTTAATAACGTGAAGGAAGTCCAAATGTAATAAAGAAATCTTATATCAGGAAAAGGTCTTCCACTAAAAAACAATATGTCTCATCAAAATAATAATAATACTATCAACAATCCTCCTTCAAATAGAAAAGTGAGAGAAACTAATCTCAATAATCTCAAGAAAAATTAATTGATAAACGCTAGTCATTATTAAAATCTTAAAATAGTTATTCATACATAAAAATGTACAATATATAGAAATTGATTATAAATAAAAATTAAAATAATAATACAAAATAGGGCATATAAATCAATTAACAAAAAGGT